CAATCTCAGCTCACCACAAACTCCACCTCCCCAGTTCAAGTGATTCTCCTGCCTCAGCCTCCCAAGTAGCTGGGATCACAGACATGGGCATGTGCCACCACACCCATCAAATTTTGTAGTTTTAGTAGAGATGGGGTTTCTCCATGTTGGTCAGGCTGGTCTCGAACTCCTGACTTCACGTGATCCACCCGACTCGGCCTCCCAAAGTGCTGGGATTACAGGCTTGAGCCACTGTGCCCGGCACTGGAAACATTTTTATTGGGCTATGCAGTATGACCTGCTGGCCAGGGGGTAGCACTTAAGGGTAAGATGCAGATGTGGCACAAGCAGATGGGTATTTGATCTTTGTTTACTCTGAGGGGATCTCTGTTGTTTCAGGTAATGAGCTAGATAGTGGGGTTCCCAATGCCCTGAGCTTCCTTCTTGACTGTGGCTTGTGGTGACACACCTGATCTGATTTGGACCCTTTGGCTTGCCCACAAATACTCTAATGATGAGCACAGGCACCAGTCTTGATAAGGGTGACTGGGGGAACTCCTGGTACATACACTTAGGCCTCTGCTGGAAGTGAGGGGGTTGCATTGCCTCCATGTCCTAAATAGGCAGGAATACAATCTGTTCCCTTTTCACACCCTTGTCATAGGGCTCATCATGTACACTTCAGACGCGCGTTATTATCTGTCCAGGCCACAGTGTGTCTGAGAGCCAAGGAAGATGCCTCTCTTGCAACTTTCCATGGGGGTGTTTTTGAGGCAGAATATCTTTACTCACTCAACCCAAATACAGACAGCTTTATGGCTCACCTGTTCTTTGACATATTAATGTTGCTGCTTCATGTAAGGGAGAGGTCTGCTTTTCAGCCCATGTAGTGGGTGTCATTTGTGGTGGTGTGAGCTGGTTAGGTTAGTCTGACCTCAGGTGCCAGGAGGACTGGGTAAGTACTAGCTGTGCTAGACTGGGCTAGGTAGCTCTCCAGTCCCCAGGCCCTTAGATGGTCCACTGGATGACATTCACGAGTCCTGAAGGAGCTGGACCTGGGTTGAGCCAGCCCAGAGTTCAGTGCTGTCTGTGTAATGGGGAGAGTTGGGTTGGTCCCTGGGTCACTGGTTGAACTCTCAGGCAGGTCAGGTAGACCAGTCAAGTGGTGGGAACCTGAGGGTGGAAACTGGCCTGTGGTTATTGGGCTCTCCAAGGGGCTCTGGGCTGCAGCTGAAATATTCAGTTGGGGGCAGGCCAGTCAGCTGTGGACCTTTCACTGCGTAGGGCAGGTCCCCGAAGTTGGAAAAATGGAAACTGGAAACTGTGAGGCACGTGGTACATTCACACTTTCCTTCTACAGATGTAGTGTTGGATTATGTTGTGGGAGGCATGCACAGGTAGGTGCCAGGCCTCCCTACTCTCTCCCTGGCCCAGAGGTGGCAGGGGCAAAGTTAGTGGCAGTTGTGGCTGCAAAATGGTTGGTAGCAACCTCTGGGATTTGGGCTGTCAAAGAAATGCCAAGCCATGGCCACAGTGTTCAAGCAGGGGCAGGGAAAGGTGCACTGGTGACCTGGAGCCTATAAGCCCCATTTGGTGGAAAGCAGTAAAAGTGGGGAGTTGTGTGGCATGCAGTATACCTGTTGCTCCTTTGTACTTCAGCTGTGGTATCTGTGCTAAAGGCTGCAGAAGTGCTTAGCTTTCCCATTTCCTCCCTAGCCCAGGGGAAGGAGGGATGGCATAACTTCTGTTACTTAAACATTGGTTATTTTGATAGTGTCCCATAATTCTCAGACTTTCTTCATTATTTTTTCTTATACTTTCTTTAACTACCTTACCTTTCCTTAAACACTTTTACTTATAACGTTCCTTAACTACTTCTGAATTCATTATCAGTCATTTCATAGATCTCTGTTCATTCAGGGTCCATAGAGGTTTATTAGTTTATTTTTGTGATTTTTAGAAATTATTTGTAATTTTTGTGTTCTTGTTTTGGTGCCTGTGCATTTGGGTACCTGACCACCTCTTTCAGCCTTTGTAGGTGTTCTTTGGCAATGATAATCTTTCAGTATTTATTCTAACCTGGGATTTTGGGTAGACCAACTGATAGCAACCCTGGACAGCTGACCTTGCTCTTGGGTTCTCTAGTTGGGGTGAGCTGCTGCCTGTAGTTTGAGGTTGAGTGGAATGGTGAGCTGTGCTTTGTAGTCTGATGAGACAAGTAGCTGGGTTTTAATTTGGCAGTGCTGATGGCTGTCCTTTGCAATCACCTCTGATCAGATTGCATTGCATGCTGCCTTCCCCAGCAAAACAGTACTGCTGTTTGGAATCTGTAGTCAGTCAGGGCCATGTGCTCATGCTCTTAGACTCGAGGAGGTCTCTGGGGTTACTGTTCAGCCACCTGGGACAAGCCAGGTTAGGTACTTCCTTTACAGGTATTCATGGATCAGCACTTGCCTTCTGGCCTGAGGAAGCCTTAAAGAGAACATTAAGCCTTAGTGGGATTGTCATACAGTCAGTGGGGTTGGGTGGGGCCAGATGCTCTATTCCATGGATAATTACTGACCTACAGTTGCCTCCAAGCCTGGAAAAGGCTCAAAAAGAGAAGTGACATTACATAAGGAAGCTGGCTAGGGACTTCAGCTATGCAAACCCATGGACTATGGTTCCTGCAGAGCCATAGTTGGCTGCTTTCTATCATTTAGCACCTTCATTGACAAAAGTGAAGAGCTACTGCCAAAATCCATGTGCTCATCATTGTGAGCCCCACCTCTTTTCTTCATTTCTAACTAACCTCAGGTGCCCTAGACCTGCTGGTATTCCCAATGTTTGTCATGGAGAGACAGGAGTGAGCTTCCTGTAAAGCACCTCACAACAATGAGGAAGCTGGATATATGTTTACAACTCTCTTTTCCCCTGCAGAAACATAAGCCCAGGGGAATCTTCTGTGGCACCCTTACAGCTTGAGAGAGGGTGATGATACGAAGTGAAGCCATTCCTCTTACCCTTTGAATGCAGCCGTTATCTGTTCTGTGGCTGGGGAGGCTATCTCCCAAATTCAGGGATATTCATGAAAGTATTCTTATCTGCGAATAGTTGGTAGTTGGATTTCTGTGAGGGGGACTGGAACTGGAGAACTCCTAGTTTGTTATCTTGCTGACATCACTCTCTTTACTTTCCTCTCAATTTACTTTTAATAAAGTAAAAAGTATTGAAACCTTTATTAAAAGGTTTCCATACAGTTCAGTGAAGAATTAATAGTCTTTTCATCAAATGGTTCTAGGACAACTGGGTATCTACATGCAAAAGAATAAAGTTGGAGCCTTGCCGCACACACAATGTATACAAAAACTAATGTAAAATAAATAGGAGACCTAAATGTAAAAGCTAAAACTCTAATATTGTTATAAGAAAACATGAGTACATCTTCATGACCTTGAGATAAAAGGCTTCCTAGAAACAGCTTCAAAAGCACAGGCAACAAAAGAAAACACGATAAATTAGAATTTGCCAAAATTTTTAAAAAAAGCTATTTCAATAGCTTCAATAATAAAAGAAAAGACACTGACCAGGGGGAAATATTTGCAAATTATATAACGACTGGGGATTTATATTCTAAACATAGAAAAAACTCTTACAACTCAATAATAAGACAATAACCCAACTTAAAATGCACAATGGATTTCAATAGACATTTTCCTAAAGAAAACATACTAATTGCCCATAAGTGCATGAGAGAATGTTCAATGTAATTGCTCATTAGGGAAATGCATATTAAAACCACAAGGAGTTATCAATGCACATTCACTAAAATAGTCATAAACAAAAAGGATAAGGGTTAATGAGCATGTGGAGTAACTGGAACCCTCATATATTTCTGGTAAGGCTATTGTTAAATTCGTGCAGACTCTTTGGAAAACAGTTTGGCATTTTCTTAAAATGTTAAATGTAAATTTGTCATAAGACTCCACTATTTCATTCACCTATATATGTATATATATGCTCAAGAAACGAAAACAAATATTCATACAAAGACATAAACAAATGTGTAATTATATTGCTGATTTTTGCAGCATAATTAGTAATAGCCAAAAGTGTTAGTCCAACTGTCCAGTAACTGGTGAATAGATAATCAAAATTTGGTATATTTATTCAATGGAATAGTCTTTGTCCATAAAAGAATCATTTATATAAGCCTTGAAAACATTGTGCAGAATGGAAGAAATCAGACACAAAATGTTATATATTATATAACGCAATTTCTAGAAAGTGTTCAGAATAGGAAATCTATATAGATAAAAGTTAAATTACTGGATACTAGCGATTGGGGGAATAGAGAAATGGAGAGTAATTGCTGATTGGTATGGAGTTTTTGGAGTGAATGATAAAAATGTTCTCTAACTAGATTGTGGTGATGCTTGCACAATTCTGTAAATTTATTAGCAATCATTAAACTACATTTGAAATGCAGAATCTTATTTTATATAAATTATGCCACAATAAAGTTTTATAACAGCATGAATGAGGTAAATAATGACAAATCACAACTCTAGATTAGTGTGAAGTGATATTACAAAATGTTTATAACTTAAAAGAAAATCCATATATTTAAGAATATATTATTCTACTTTATAATTTACTCTGATTTTTCTGAAAGTGCTATGGAAAACAAGTTAGAATAACATCATGGGAAATAACTTTAGGCTATTATTGACATTTTCTGCATTCAGATCTCAATTACAGCTTTTGCTAGCCAAGTGATCATGGATGTGTTATCTAACTTCTCTATTCTTCAGTTATTTCATCAAAAAATAGTGATAATTAATAGCTTCTATATCATTAGCTTGTTGTGATGTCAAATATTTAACACAGGTAAAGTTCCTAAATATTATTAAGTCCTAAGTAGATAGTAAATTGTAATTATATGTTTTCACCTATTGTCTTCATTGTTGACAAAATAAATGAAGAAATATGTTTTCAGGAACAGGTCTTGAGTTCTCACTTCTTTTGTTTGTTTTCTTTAGGTGTCTTCAATGCCCTGGGTTTACCTGTGACCCAGTGCCCACTGGGGCTGAATGTCAAAGGACTTCCTCTAGGTATCCAGGTTGTGGCTGGACCCTTTAATGATCATCTGACCCTGGCTGTGGCCCAGTACTTAGAGAAAACTTTTGGGGGCTGGGTCTGCCCAGGAAAGTTTTAGGAGGACCTTCTGCAAGGTTAATGTCTGTGTCTGTGTGTGTGTGTGGTGGTGATGGTGGTGGTGTTTCTGTTAATTGGGTGAAATCAAGCACCAGCAGGCAAGCAGAAAAACAACTGGGGAATTTATTGACTCATTTAGTTATTCTTTCTACTTTTATTTCCTTCTCTAACTGTTGATCTTACTAAAATGGTAATATTTGCTTCTTGCCTTTATGTTACTGGAAAATTAGGACATGTAAATGGACAAGCGCAATAAAGTTTCCTAAATACTGGAATCATGTCTGCTTTGGGTACAGCAGGGAAATTAAAGAAGGGAATGTCCAGTGCTAAGGAGGGGATCTTAAGAAACTTTAGAGAAGAGATGATGCTGAAACCAACAAATGGAGAGTTACGTGTTTTCCAGGCAAGCCATTAAGTAAGGGAATTCCAGTTAGAAGAAGCTACAGTGAAGAAGGCAAGGACATGCTCCTGTGAGTTAGTATGGCTGGCAGGGAACTGGAGGGAGGTACATAAGTAATGAGACTATGGTAAGGAAAGCTCTTCCAATATCCCCCAAAAATGTTTTATAATTTTGTTCGCTAAACAATCCTAGAAGCAACAGGTCCTTGAACAACATTATACACACACACACACACACACATATAAAAAATGATATCATTATATATATAGTCATATATATAATGGATTTAGAAAGTCATTGTTTTGCAACCATTAAAATAATACTTAATTCATACATAACTCATCAATGGATCCTAAAACCACTGGACAAAAGTTTGACAAACAGAATATTTGTAGTCTCAAAATATCTTTTCACCTACCACTTATTAACTTCAAGAGTGGGGAATATTACCTGTAGAGTGCAGATATATGGTAGACACCATCATAATCAAATAGCCAACATTAATCTGAACAACAAATCTGTGATGTCCCTGACAAAAATGAATCACCTGAATCTAACTATAATAAATTATCAGACAAAACAAAATTTATAAACATCTTACACAATTAAGGGCCTGTATTATTCAGAAATGTCAAAGAATTAATGCCAGTGACAGGCTAAGGAACTGCTCCAGATTAAAGGTGAATAAAGACCCATGATAACTAAATTCAATGTGTGATCTCAAATTGGAAAAGTAAGATTTTTAAAAAAGATAATGTTAAAACAATTGGACAAATATAAATGTAAGGTGTTTTGTAGATAATGTACTGTGGCAATTTCGAATTTCATTTTCTATTTATTTATTTATTTATTTTTGTACTTTTCATGTGCAGAACGTACAGGTTTGTCACATAGGTATACATGTGCCATGGTGGTTTGCTGCACCTATCAACCCATCATCTACATTACGTATTTCTCTAATGATATCCCTCCCTCCACTCCCTGACAGGTCCCAGTGTGTGACGTTCCTCTCCCTGTGTCCATGTGTTCTCATTGTTCAACTCCCACTTGTGAGTGAGAACATGCAGTATTGGGTTTTCTGTTCTTGTGTTAATTTGCTGAGAATGACGGTTTCCAGCTTCATCTATGTCTCTGCAAAGGGCATGAACTCATCCTTTTTTATGGCTGCATAGTATTCCATAGTGTATATGTGCCACATTTTCTTTATCCAGTCTATCACTGATGGGCATTTGGGTTGGTTCCAGGTCTTTGCTATTGTGAACAGTGCTACAATAAATATACATGTGCATGTGTCTTTATAGTAGAATGATTTATAATCCTTTGGGTATATACCCAGTAGTGGGATTGCTGGGTCAAATGGTATTTCTGGTTCTAGATCCTTGAGGAATCACCACACTGTCTTCCACAATGGTTCAACTAATTTCCACTCCCACCAACAGTATAAAGACATTCCTAGTTCTCCACATCCTCTCCAGCACCTGTTGTTTCCTGACTTTTTAATGATCGCCATTCTAACTGGCATGAGATGGTATCTCATTGTGGTTTTGACTTGCATTTCTCTAATGACCAGTGGTGATGAGATTTTTTTCATATGTTTGTTGGCTGCATAAATGTCTTCTTTTGAGAAGTGTCTGTTCATAGCCTTAGCCCACTTTTTGATGGGAATTTTTTTCTTGTAAATTTGTTTAAGTTTTTTGTAAATTCGGCTATTAGCCCTTTATCATATGGATAGATCACAAAAATTTTCTCCCATTCTGTAGGTTGCTGGTTCACTCTGATGATAGTTTCTTTTGCTGTGCAGAAACAGAGCACCTGGGGGAAGGGGCGACTGTGTGTGCAGCTTCAGCAGACTTAAACATTCCTGCCTGCTGGCTCTGAAGAAAGCTGCAGATCTCCCAGCACAGTGCTTGAGCTCCACTAAGGGAGAGACTGCCTGCTCAAGTGGGTTTCTGAACCCCATGCCTCCTGACTGGGAGACACCTCCCAGCAGGGGTCAACAGATACCTCATTCAGGAGAGCTTTGGCTGGCATCTGGCAGGTGCCCCTTGGGGATGAACCTTGCAGAGGAAGGAACAGACCGCAATCTTTGCTGTTCTGCAGCCTCCGCTGGTGATACAAAGGCAAACAGGGTCTGGAGTGGACCTCCAGCAAACTCCAGCATACCTGCAGTAGTGGAGCCTGACTGTTTTTGCATCTTTGTTTGTTAGAAAGGTAACCTGTAGTTTCCTTTTTTTTGCTTCTTTGTCTGGTTTCGGTATTGTAGTAACCTCAGCATCATAGAATGAGTTAGGAAGAATCCATCCTCCTCAATTTTTTGGAAAAGTGTGGTGTTAGTTCTTTAAAAGTTTGGAAGAACTTGGCAGTGAAGCCAACTATTCCTAGAGTTTTCTATGTGGGGAGGCATCTTATTACTGATGTAATCTCATTACTCATTATTAGTCTATTCAGATTTTATAAACATATATAAACCAAACACTGGAACACCCAGATGTATAAAGCACATATTATATGTAAGTCAAGGAAAAGATTTCAATACTCTACTAGTTGAAGACTTTAACATACTCCTCTAAGAATTAAACACATAATCTAGGCAGAAAATTAAAAAAAGAATAATTGGATTTAAACTTCTCTTTCACCCAAATGAACCTCATAGACATTTATGGAACATTATATCTAAGAACTACTGAGTATACATTTTTTATCAGCACGTGGAACATTCTCCAGAATTTCACACTGTAGGTTAAGCCACGAAAAGGTCTCAACATATTAAAAAAATTAAAATCATATAAAGTATATTCTAAGACCACATGGAATAAAACTAGAAATAAATAGCATGAGAAACATTGGAAGCCATATAAATATACGTAAATTAAACAACAGAGTTCTGAATAACCATGGGATCAACAGAGTAATTAAGATAGAAATAAAAAAATTTGTTGAAACAAATCAAAATGGAAACACAATGTACCAAAACTTCTGAGATACAGCAAAAGCAGTGCTCAGACTAAAATTTATAGCAATAAATGCCTACATTTGAAAAAGTATAAAAGATTATGAATTAGCAATCTAACAATGCACTGCAATGAACTAGAAAAACGAGAACACACCAAGCCCAACATTATGAGAAGAAAATAAATAACATAGATCAAAGCAGGACTAAATTAAGCAGACAATAAAAAAAAACCCAGAAGATTCATAAAACAGAAAAGATGGTTGTTCAAAAAGATAAACAAGATGGATAAGGTGCTAACTAGAATAACCAAGAAAAGAAAAAGAGAAGGTTCAATAAAGAAAATGATAAATAAGTGGGTGTGCTACGCAATTCTTGCACTTCTAAAAAGAAATACATGAGATGGTAATTTTTAAAGAAAAGAGGTTTAATTGCCTCATTATTCTGTAGGATTTACATGAAGCATGGTGCCAGCCTCTGCCCAGGTTCCAACAATTCTACTATTGGGTATCTACCCAAAGGAAAAAAATATATACCAATGGGATACCTGCATTCTCATGTTTATTGCAGCAGTACTAAAAAAAAAAAAAAAAAAAAGATATGGAATCAACCTAAGTGTGCATCAACACATGAATGAATAAAAAAGTGTGCAATATATACACAATGAAATACTTTTTGGCCATTAAAAACAAACAACGAGATCATGTTATTTTCAGCAACAAGGTTGGGACTGAAGAACATATGAAATATGCCAGACACAAAAACATAAATATTGCATGTTCTCACTTATATATGGGAGCTGGCAAATTTGATCACATAGAGGTATAGAGTGGAAAGATAGATAACAGAGACTGGGAAGGGTGATTGGGGCCGAGGGTGGAGGATAAAAAATAGTGGATTAAGGTGTACAAATCATAGAGTTAGAAGGAATAAATTTAATGTTTGATAGCAGAGAAGTGTAATTGTAGTTTTAAAAAAACCGTACTTGAGTTACACCCTAAATATCCTGACTCAATCACTACACATTATATACATGTAACAAAATTTCACATGTAATTTATAAATTTGTACAAATAAAATAATTTTAAAAGGAAATTTTATCAAGTATATCCTCGGCCCACAATTGAATAAAACTAGGAATCAATAACAAGAGGAAATTTAGAAACTGTACAGAAATATGGAAATTAAACAAAATGCTCACTGGGCACAGTGGTCTGTAATCCCAGCACTTTGGGAGGCCAAGGTGGGTGGATCCTTTGAGGTCAGGAGTTCAAGACCAGCCTGGTCAACATGGTGAAACCCTTTCTCTACTAAAAACACAAAAAATGTTAGCCCGGCATGGTGGTGGCACCTGTAAAAAAAGGTGGTGGGCACCTGTAATCCCAGCTGCTTGGGAGGCTGAAGTAGGAGACTCATTTGAACTCGGGAGGCAGAAGTTGCAGTGAGCCGACAGCATGGCCGCTCCACTCCAGCCTGGGTGAAAGCAAGACACTGTCTCAAAATAAATAAGTAAATAAATAAACAAACAAAATGTTCATGAATGACCATTGGGTCAAGGAAGAAATAAAGGAGAAAATGCATTTCTGGAAACAAATGAAAATCAAAATACAATGACCAAAACTTATGGGATACAGCAAAAGCAGTGCTAAGAAGGAAGTTTGTAGCAATAAACACCTACATCAAAAAAGTAGAAAAAGGCTGGGCACAGTGGCTCACGCTGGTAATCTCAGCACTTTGGAAAGCTGAAGTGGGAGGATTTCTTTCTCTTTTTTTGTTAACTATCTTTATTTATTTATTTATGTATTTATTTTTATTATTATACTTTAAGTTCTAGGGTACATGTTCACAACGTACAGGTTTGTTACATATGTATACTTGTGCCATGTTGGTGTGCTGCATCCATGAACTCGTCAGCACCAATCAAC